AAGGCCTTTTCCGTGCACGAATGGGGTTCCCGGCTCCCCATTTAACAACACCCTGGAGGAAGATGAAGCGAGGGTCATGCAGATCCAGTCCCGCCAGCGCTGTCCAAATCCCAATTGTTGCAGCACCTCCAGGAGGTAGGCCCAACCCACAGAGTCGAAAGCCTTGGAGATGTCGAGCTTGAGGAAAAGGCCCGGCGTTGAAGAGCGGTGCAATTCTTTGATCAAGTTTTGCACGTGAAGGAAGTTATCGTGGATGCACCGTTTCTGCACGAAGGCACTCTGGCACTTGGAAACTAACGACGGAAGCGGAGGGGCAAGACGGTTAGCCAGCAGCTTGGAGAAGATCTTGGAGATGCTGTGTGTCAAACTGATTGGGCGGTAGTCGCCAATGGAGGATGCGCCGGCTTTTTTCGGGAGGAGAATAATGTTGGCAGAATTGATCAGTCCAGCGCAGTCGCCTCTCAGGTTCGCGAGCTGCATCATCACAGCCACGACATCCCCTTTGATGATCTCCCAGCAAGATTTGAAGAAGGCACCGATGAAACCATCAGGGCCCGGGGCCTTGACCGAAGGTAGGGAGAATACCGCCTCCTTAATCTCTGCCTCGTCGAATGGAGCGTCCAAAGCCGAAAGGTCGTGGCGCTGCATCCCGATGTTCTTCCAGACAATGGACTTGGTGCGCATGGCAGGCGTGCCGATGTTAGCCTGAAAGTGGTCCAGAAGGGCCCGTTCCTTGTCCTGTCTGGTAATTGCCAGCCCCGAGGTGGTGGTGAGTGTCTGAATGAAGTTCTTACACCTTCTGCCGTTCGCTCGAGCATGGAAAAGCTTTGTGGTGGCATCCCCCAGGTGGATCCAGTTGAGTCGAGAACGTTGTCGCAACCTGATTTTCTGAATGGCTAGGAGACCCAGGTACGAGGCCTTAAGTTGTTTGCGCAATTCCCTCTCCGAGTCTGAGAGCGGCCTTCCCTCCTCAGCAACATCCAGGTGCCAGATGATCTCCTTGGCCACTGCGATCTGGGAGCCGAGCATCCCGACTTATTCCTTTACCTATCCCAACTTTCCTCTCCATCCTCTCATGTACTCTATCTCTCACACCCACACCCCTCCTGTATTTTGTGAGATCTATCAATCTATGAGATGGGGCTTGGCATTGTGGCTAATTTTTTGAATTCGGCTGGTTGTTTGATTCTCTATGCAGTATTTGAGCAATTCGAACATAGCGGATCGTGTTCAGTCTCCTGCTCTCCATTGTTGTTAGTTAGTGTATCTATGTATTAATTTTCCCCTGGGGCATTTTTGTTGTCACTGCGTGTATGTATGGTTGGTACGCTGGTCGCCTTGGGATTGCCACTGTAATTCTCAATGGATTTTAGTCATTCTTATTGGATTTGCAGTGTAATTCCTGTTTGGATTTACAGTGGATTTGCAGTGTAATTCCTGTTTGGATTTACAGTGGATTTACACTGTACTTCTCATTTGGGTTTACACTGTAATTGTCATTGGGTTTGCAGTTGGTTTAGAATGTAATTCCTATTTGGTTTTCAGTGTAATTATTACTGGGTGTAACTACACTGTAATTCCTATTGGTTTGTCAGTGTAATTTTTATTGGTTTTACAGTGTAATTAGTACTGTAATTCCTATTTTTGTTCTTACAGTGTAATTCCTAGCTGCAATGTGATCCCCATTTATAGTCCGTAAGTGTTGATGCTAATTTGCTGTTTAATTTCGTGTCCTTGACTCTGTAGCTTGGTGTAGCTTCGAATTTTGTAACTAGAGTTTT